CCCTTGAACCTTTTCCCCATGTTGATCAAAGCCTTCTTCTTGGCCTTCTTCCTTACAACCAAAAGTGACATTAGTTCATGTTGCCCTTTGTCCAAGGTGAAAAAGGTTTCTTGAAATTGAGAATTTTGTGTCTGCAAGTCTTTCACGGTCTGCTCGAGATCCATCTTACTAAAATAAACAATAGAAAGATGAGGAAACTTCTCAAACAGAAACTTGGCTAGAAAACCCTTAACACCACTTCTTGTTTCCCAATTTTCCAAAACGTCGGATTGTTGCAAATGTAAAGCTAAAGAAATCTCCTCAGGTCTTGGGTCTTTCTCAATATGGTGAAGGGTAATTGATCAAGAATAGGCACTCCCAAAAGTTGAGCAATTGGTAATCACGAAATGTAAAGCAATGGTGTTTAGGGTCAAAGAATTGAAAGAGTACCCCCATAATTTTTTATTCAAAAATTAAGGTAACCAAGTTGATGAGACGACCATACTTCTTGGTGAACAGAGAGTATTTGGGGAACCCTTAACGTTAACTCCTTGAGTTGAGGAGGCACTTTCACAAAGCCGATTCAGATAGTCTTTCTACGAGTGGAATCCATGTCCTACAAAACAGCACAAATATAAATCCCAAAGTCCTTGAAATGGTTGGTGCAAATGCCATGGTATGATGTCATGATGTTATGTGTAATTTAAACATATACAAACAAAGCAAACAAGTCCTTGGGTTTAGGCTTGCATGAGGTTCATAGGTAAGTACCCTCTTGAAGTTTAGTTGGTTCAACCTGTCCTACAAAGTAATCGGGTTCTCGGGAATCTTAATATCATTGATCTTTCTTCATTGGGCATTGTCTCAACACAATCAATCTTTTCTTACGGCCAAAACATCCCAAAAGTCTGATCTCAATGAGCGTAGTATCGAGTATCAACCAATTTTTAGCTTTCCACCGAAACCGTCTATCTCACTACTTCCTAATGGCTAAGTTGTTCAATTAAAGGTTCTAAGGTAAGTTAGTGTTTCATGACACGACACAGCGGCCCTGTATTCTCCTTGATTCACCACAAGGGACACCGGTACCAATAAATGTGTCACACTAACGTAGCTATTGTTTGAACTATATCGGTCTACATCGTCCAGTCTCTACAATCTTTGCTACTTACCTAATAATGTCCTCATATTTGGGTAGAGGATCAACGTAAAACCCAAACATGGACCCAAAAATATAAAGCAAACAAGTCAAACAATGAAAGAATTTAAAGGTGATCTAGTCTATAAGGTAACCCCACTTTTAAGTTATAATTCCCCAACAGAGTCGCCAGCTCTGTAATACGGTGGGAAAACGGACTTAGGTGTTTTATGTTTGATCGCAATTGTTGCGGATAGCAAGAGTCTCCACCGACTTTTGTTTTATCCAATAAAGGAAAAGGTGAAAAGAACAGGAAATACCTTTTGAGAATTTTCTTGAGTTCGGGGTAGGTTATGAAAAGGGAAGGTGTTAGTACCTTTTTCATCCGTAGTTATCTACGGGCTATTAGTTGCTAGCTCACTTTGAAATACTTTGTTTGAAATGTGTTTGTGATAGTTTGAAAGTATTTTTGAAAAGTTCCTTCGTTTAGGAAATTTTTTTAATGATTCTCGTCTCTATAAGAATGCATACAAAGTGTTGACTTTTGAAAATATTTCATTTGAAAGTGTTGGTGTGTTTGAAAGATGTTTTTGAAAATGGTTGTGAGCAAGCAACTATGAATGTTCTACCTACTCAAAAAGTATTAGTTCTTTTTCTCCTCCTTTAGATATTGCTATCTTACCATTAATTGGTGAGAAGCCCTATCATTGGATGTAAAGGGACGAGCGGGGGTCATTGTATAGTCATAGAAGGCATCATTGTAGGATACTTTAGCAATTTTTTGTAAGGGACTAAGATCGTTTATTGAAGGCAACATCGAAGGGTCATCAATGGACTACGATCTTGTATTCGAGGGTCATTGCTAAAGTATCCCACGTTCGAGGAACATGACCGTTTACATCCGAGGCAACAAGTATAGGTTACCCTAGAGGTACGTGTGTGAATCGTGTTTCGATTGCATGCATTTTTGTCTTGAGATTAGGGTTCTATAAGATTGATTTTATCTTTCCATACACACCCTAATTACTAACAATTATATTAAAAGCGATAAATTGTGGAAATTAAAGTCCTACGTTATTACATCACTTAGGGGATGGGGATACAAATTATAAATGGGGACGAAAGCAATTAAAACATAATTACTATTAAAACCAAATTTGAAAAAGTATCAAAATTAATATTTAGAATATATTGGATACTAATGTCCCCTTCCGGTGTCTCCATTGAAATACCTATCAATGGTATTTTTCATGAAAATAGTATTTTTGCTTATTTCAATGATCCTCAATACATAAGACAAAGTTCAGGAATTACTAAATATACAACTATAGGAATTCATTCTATTTTTCAAAAAGAAGATTTCAGTGAGTATCAAGGAATCGA